CCTTTTCCGTGTGGAGTGAAGCGGAATGGAGACCTGTTTGAAAACTGCAGGGGGGACTTAAAACAGACAGAATATAATCATTACCCGAGCTGGAGCTGAGCCAGGACACCGGGGCTAACATGACTAATTTGCCAAGAGACACCTCCCCGCGCTGCCCTCGGCTGTCCACAAGACCGGGCAGAACCCAAAGCTGCGACGGGGCGTACACTACCTCCCCACTATCGCCCGGCTTCCCGGGCACACACGTGTTCACAAGCGCACACGTGTTCACAAGCGCACACGTGTTCACAAGCGCACACGTGTTCACAAGCGCACACGTGTTCACAAGCGCACACGTGTTCACAAAACAGAAGGGCTGTAGGGCAGGAAGGTAATCTTATAATTAAAGGAAAGCCTGTTTTTCAGGAAAACCTCCACCTTGTGGGGACCCTACCCACTAAAGGAAGCCAAGGTCCGTCTGGGAGCTCCCTAGTCACCTGCTCTAGGTGCCTTTCAGGTGAGTTAATCAACTCAGCAGGGCTTGTCTCTGGATTTCAGGACACACCCAACTTTGTGCCATTCCCTTTCAGTTCTCTGATATCCTCTTTGAAAAGCAGGCTGTTCCTTTGTTCAGGAGTATTAACTCAAATTCCTTTCCAGGGCCCACACCACACAAATGCAGGGCAGCAACCCAAAGGAAGCTCGCCCAGAAGAACCAAGCTTCTTCCAGTTTTTCAGGAGTGGTGCAAACAAACCATCCCAGTTAGGAGAAGTCCTAACCATCTTCCCTGTTTCCTCCCCCCAAGTTCCCCTATGTTGAAAGCAGGACCCAGATCCCATTTAAGATGTGCTTAATGAATCCAGTAGAAAGAGAGGCACCCAGAGTGGGCAGAGGGGCATCGTCCCATTGGCCACAAACCCTCCCTCAAGCTGGGGGGGGCGGGGGGGGCGGGGTGCCTTGTTTTGAGAAGACTTCTACTGAGTTCACTCTAACCCAGACCAGAGACATAGGAGTCTGATACCGATAAAATGATACCTGGCCACTAAATCCAATTCTTCCACATAAAACCCTAGGAACTATGAAAACTGTCCACGTAATCCCAGGTGTGTGTGTTCTTGGCGGGCGGATTGCATCAGACACACCCACATGGAGGGCAAGGAGAAACTGAAGCTGCAACCAACTACACAGGAACCAGAGCCAAGTAGAGCTGGAACTAAACTTCTGGCTCCCTTACTGAAACTCCCTGACCCTCAGTTTCTTCATGGGTAAAATAACGACTATTACCCCTACCTCGGTGAGGATGTGAGGACAAAATGAAAGAACACGGCTAGAGCAACACAGCACGGTGCCTGGCAGTCGTCTGAAGACAGGTGTCAGGCCTCAGCCTGGATGGACTGTGATCCAGAGAAGAACTCTCCCCACACAATCAAGACGTTCTTAACATTCGCCCAAAAAGTGCAATGAATTTAAAACAGCCTGGTGGAGAAAATGGTCTAGAAAACCCCTCCTTGGCATTAGATTGTGACATCCTAACAAAAAGTGCAATGAATTTAAAACAGCCTGGTGGAGAAAATGGTCTAGAAAACCCCTCCTTGGCATTAGATTGTGACATCCTAACAAAAGGATCAGTAATCAAAGAACAAATAAAAGAGAGCCCTGTGACCAGAGTAAGAAGACCAGAGTAAGATCACCCTCACTGCTTGGGTGAGGAGACACCCCACCCTGTGACAATCCAACATGAGCTCCTAGTGCCAGACATTACTCGGGCACTCAATAGGGCACTCAATAGTCATTCTAGCGTTACTGCAACAAAAGGAAGACAAGGTACTTCAACGACTGCAGGGATTTCTAAGCGCCAAATTAAGTCTGCAAAGGACAGAAAGAACCAAATTCCTCCACCAAGGAGAAGACAGGTGAGAAGTGACAGTGCTAGATAGTGCCCGGCAGCCACTTAGAGCTGCACCCTGCACCCTCTAGCCACATGGCTCGCCAGGCTGCCAGTGTGGGAGAAGAGCCACTGGTGTGAAAAGCAGAGTTTGCAGCACAGCAGCGTGCAAATGTCACTTGTCCTTGATGCAGAATTCTGCCGAAGGTCTCGGTGGCCCTCGCTGTTGCCCGCAGCAACTAGCACCGCGCCATTTGTAGCACGAGTGAAACACCCGGATTCGAAGGTTACCCTAGAACCGTGGAGGCAAACGCTGCCCGGGAGACGGGATGCCAAGCCGGCCAAGTCGAAATGATGCCAGTGTTCACCGCTGTTCGCATCGCGGCCGGCATCGCGCGGTCAACCCACGGGCCTCGCACTGGGGGGGCCCGGGACACTGCGAGCCCAGACCGAGGGAGCCGGAGTCCGCCACGCGCGGGTGGCGGGCGGCGCAGGCACGGTCCGGCCGGGCCCCCGGTTCCGCTGGGAGCCAGGGTCGCGGCCTGGGGGACCACCGCGTCCTCTCGCGGCTCCTCCTCTGCTCGGCCCCAGCAGGTGTAGGGCCAGGTGTAGGGCCGGACCCCCCGCCCGGTCCGAGCTGCCGGCCCAGCACAAAGGCCGGCAGGGGAAGGAGGAAGTGGGCCTGGGGGGTAAGGGCCCCCTTTCTTACTTTCCAACACCTCTCAATGACTTCCCCGCGGTGGGAGGCGACTCTCGATTTACAAGTGAAAAGGCGTCGCGAGAGGGAGGGGCGTTTCCGGGGGCTTCAGGTACCGCGGCCCGGGAGGGGGCGGGGCAGGCCCGCCAGGTAGCCGGGAGGGCGGGGAAGCGGGAAAGTGGGGCCGCACCTAGCCGCCAGGTGCTCGGCCTGCGGAGGGCGGGGCGCCCAGGTACACCAGCCAGGAGGGAAGGGGCGGAGCCCACAGGCCTGCGGCCCCGGGGATCCGGGAGGCTTCACCCTAGGAATCGGGTGCCCTGGAACCCAAGGACCCCGGAAACCCACACGCCAGGAGGCCGAGTTTCCAGCTGGCCGACACCCCTGCACTCGGGGAAATGCAGCCAGGCCCCGCCCCCTCCAGGAGCGGCCGGGCCAGGTAGGGCGGGCTGGCGTCCACCTAGGCCCAACCTCGCCCTCCCGGCAACAGAAGGTCGAGCAGGACACCGGAAGTCGTCCTGCTGTCACTCAGGGCCGATCGAGGGGGTTCCCTGCGCCCCAGGCCCCACAAACCGCGCTACAGAAACGAGAAGGAAATCGGCCTCTTTATGACTTAGGGGAGGCAATTCAATATTTCTTCCTGGCATAAAATAGGAATTGCTCTATTTACCCAGCCCGCAGGAGCGTCGTGAAGATTAACGACTGTGAAATGTTTTTAAGATCAAAAACATTCCCAGGTTTTACTTATAGGCACTTATATGTGCATATTGATATCTGCACAGCAAAATATGCTCTTCATTGATTGCCCTCCCTAAGAGATGTCTATTCCTTAATCTGAAACCCGCTGAGAAAAAGGAACCGGGGCCCACCTCAGTGAGCCCCTGGGACCTAGGGGATATAGGGAGGAAATGCCTTTTCGACTAGGCATCCACCCTGAGCCTCCCATCCATCCAGTCCCCTGGGCAGACAGAACAATCCAGCCAGCAGTGCAGACCACAGCTGAACGTCTGGAAGAGGGGAAAAAACTTTGTAAACATTATTGGTCACCAACGCTGGGCAGAAAACACAGCACCCTACCCAGCCCATTAGGCAGATGCCCCCACCAAACTTGGGCTCCATCAGGGTCTCCGGTGTTTGGAAAGCCTTGGCCGGCACTTGGACCCAGTGGTCAGCCAAGCTCTGCCATTGCCGGGAGCCCACGCGGCCCATCTGGCCCAGCAGCTCCAACGGAAAGGCCTCCCGCGTGTCACCAGCACTCTGTTCCTCCCAGCAAAGCAAGGCCATGTGACAGCACACCAAGGATTTCACTGGCCTCCCCCCCCACCCTCTCCCACCCCCTCACTCAGAGGGCCTCTCCACTCCAGGATGAACATTCTCAGTTCCCTCAACCTTCCTGGGACATGGTTTTGAGATCTCTCAGGCCCTGCCGGCTCTGGCCAAATTCCAGGTGGGCAAGGCCCAGAAGCTTGGGGCAACCTCTCCTGGGATATCCAGCACTGGCTCCACACCCCTTCCCTTGGCCCACCAGGGCCTGAACAAGGGCGGGACAAACTTTGTTTGCACTTCTAGACTGGCCGGCAGTAAAGACCATCCATCAGCAAAAGAATAAGCTCACAGCTAGAGTTCATTTAAAAGGAAAGTTGCACAAACCCTTTCCTGGCTCCTTACCCCCTTCTAGCAAAGAAACTTCACCTGCTGTTCCCTCTCCCCCTTCTCTCCCCCCTCCACACACACACCCGGGGCAGGTACAATAACAGCACTTCCAGGTTTCATTCTGGCCATTTACACCTATGAAAGAATCCTTCACTAGCCTCAACATTTAGGTAGGTTTTTAAATTGCCATATTGGAAAAAAAAAATCCCATTAGGCCAGAGGAGTTGACCTCTCTGATCTAGGTCTTTGGTTCCTTCCAGAGAAACTTCCTTGGATTCCATGACTCCATAATGAAGTTTTTGTTTGTCCTGGGCTTGGACAGATTGCCGGAGGCCAGATTTCAGGCATGGCTGGAGCCCAGCCGTGATTAGCTAGACTTTACAAGCCCTGAGCTTGCCTGGCGCTGCAGAAAGACCCACACACACCATCTCTGTGACATTCTTTAACGTGGCCCCTTCAGGCTTCTGCCACAACCTGGGCTGGGATGAGACACAGAAATACTGCCCCGATTTCCAAACAATCTTTAAGCCAACTGACAGTTTCTTTTTAAGTCATAAAGATCTGTTTCAATGCAAGAAGCACATTTCTGCTGATCAGGAGAGCTTTTGAAGGGAGTACAGACCAGCGACATAATGTGACATAATGGAAGGGGTGTGTGTGTGTGTGTGTGTGTGTGTGTGTGTGTGTGTGTTTTACAAGTGAGGAGGATTTTTAGAACCACAATGGATGAAAAACACTGCCCTTCCCCCTCCCCCCAACTCTCACCCCCAAGACTTTTCCGGACTCACAGAAGCCAACAACCAAAGGCAAGGCTGGCCACCAAGGTCAGGCTACAACAGCTCTTCAGGGTTAACATTCCTTAAACAGCAACAGACCTTCGGGAGAAACGAAGGCTCTATTATTACCTAGGACAGAAGAGTCACAATTCTCTATAAAACCAAAATTATCCCTTGCCTCATTAATAGGAACCCAACCATGTTATCGCAATTGTTGTGAATATTAAGCCAACTCCAGGCAACCATCTGCTAAATTTAGTTAGGTAAACAGCTAAGGCAGATCATGTCTAAAACATTCGGTGAAGGAGAGACGGAAGCTTAGGTACATACAGAAACTGCAACTGGCCCCTAAGTTCTAACACTAAGTGTAGTTGCTAAAAATCCGGACGTGCATCAGCCCCCCACAGTGGTCAATTATCTACATTGATTCCACTTAGGGTGAGGGTTAAAAGGGAACAGGAATGCAGGTCACTTCAGCTATAGAGTTGGCTCCACTTGGGGACCTCGGCTTCCACGTGGAAGCAGGAGGGCTTTGTGCATGGATGAGTAAGATTCGATCCAAGGGGAGCTTTTTCTGCAATGGCAGCAGCTGCGCAACAGAACATGGGCATCCAGCAAAACTCATCCTCGCTGCACTTGCCCTGACACTACCAACACATTCAAACCACTGTAATACTGCAAAGGGAGGACAGGAATACAAATAAACACAACTTCTTCCTGTGGCTTAGGACACCTCAGTTTCTGGTGTTGAGTATTATTTCTTAAAATTGCACCTCATGGGGAAAAAGGTTTGTTTACACTTTCCTTGAAATACTCCACTATCTGCCTTTAGAATTTTTCCAAAAAAAAAAAAATGAGATTACTGAGAAGAGAAAGCACACGAAGTTTCCCCAGCAGTCCAGAAAAGACCACCTTCTAAGAAAAAGTCTGGAAAGGGGGCAGAGACAGATGAATGCCACTCTGCCTCCCATGCCGTCTGCACCTCCTGAAGTTTCTGTGCTCTCCAGCAGCTACAAGAATGAAGGCGAAACTGCCCCTTGGCTCCCATGGTCAACATTCCACACAAACAATGGCCTGGCTCTGTCCCTATTGTACAATCTGTATTCATTTGTGAATCCCCCCCCTTTACACAATGTGCAAAGCCCTTCTTTTCACAGGCAAACTTCTGAATGCCCAAGTGCAGCCATAATTTAGGCTTTAAACATTAATAATGATAGCTAAAAGCAAACTCCAGATTATGCCCAAACATTAATTTGTGAATATCATTAAGAGTCACATTGATGGCTTTTGGATACTCTCCATTAAATCATGATCAAAAGAGCCACTGAACACCTTAAAAATGGCTCTGAAGTTTTCAGCAATTATTAAATATAATTTTCCAAACCCAGAGATAGGTTTAAAAAAAAAAAACCAACAAAACCCTTTCATAAGCCTTTGATACATATTCCATCAAACACAGACTTGAACAAAAATTAACTTCAAAAGACAGGATGGGAGGGGGGTGAAGCTGTGCATTTTCCCTTCTTTCCAGGAGTGCTTTAACTTTAACTTGTAGCAGTGTAAATTAGGACATGCTTACCAGCTGGGAGAAAACTGATATCTGCCCAGGCAGCACAGCCTCTGAGAGCATATCCATTCCAGCTTCCCTGTGCCTACTAAAAGTTTTCAGTAGGGGAAGTCCACAAAAGCATTCCTTAGCTAGCAATTCGCAGAAAGATTCTTGGGGGGGAAGCCACCCCAATATTTCATCATGTGGGGGTCACTTCTGTTAAGCACAAATAGTACTTCTTTTTAAAGGGGCAGCCAAACTACACTCCCATTTCTTAATTACTACAAAAATGTGTTCCACCCACCCCGGGTAATGGAACTATATTATTCAGACATGGAGATACTGCCTGAGTTGTGCCCTGCCCAACAGATAGACTTCCCTTCCCAACCAGGTGCTGTATGAATATATATTTGTCGGCTGGATCACAGACACAGGACACTTGGGCTGCTGCTTTTCACTGATAGATTATTAAGAGGGACCCAGCCTACACTCACATTCATTATGATGACAGCCCCTCTACATGGAAATGACAGTGGTAAAAAATGACAACGGGGGCCAGTGTTCTACTGTTGCTGTAAACTCTTTAAAATTTTTCCATTTAGGGAAAGCATTAAGTGCAAAGGGTATAACTTTGCCTTCAAAAATGATTCATGACGTTAGTGAACTGTTCGCAAATGGGATTCTGGAGCTGGATCTCAGTGGGGCTGCTCTTTGAGAGATGTCCTTTTTGCTGTCCTTTTTGATTTTCAACAGTGAATCTCAAGGATTTCGAACAGAGTGAGCCATCCTGAGCTCCCTTCGCTTTAGTATTTTAACAGTACCCAATAATATCATTTTTTATCCCAGCGCATGGCTTGTTCAGTACACATTTTATACTCTCATCGTTTATTTACCTCCTAGCCAGCGACTCAGAAACTGAACAGCTACAGGTTGATTTTGTAGCTTTGGTTGTTGTTGTTTGTTACTGGTTTCATTTAATCTCTCTTTAAAACACTTTCCAGACTTATGAATAAGACTTCTGTTTGGAGTTCTAAAAGTTAAGAGTGAAGTTATGGATTATTCTCTGAAAGGGTAACTGATGGGCTAGTTAATAATTACACAGATTTTACTGTTTCATCGTGTGTACACGACCAGATTATCAATGGCAGAGAAAGCAAACGCAACTCTGCGGGGACAGGAACAGGTGTGCCGCGTGTCTTAAAAGGCCAAAATATCTCACAAAGTATGTCACTGGTGTGTTTTTACAATGGCAGTAGTGTTTAAGTAGCCAAACTTTCTTACTTTCATAATTTTAAAGAGACACAACTTGGCAAATATCTCTTCACTGAATCCATGACTAAATCCCAAACATAAGCTACAAACTCTTGCCTAGCAAGCAAATGCTTTTTAGGGACAAAGAGGTTTTTTTTTTTTTAAATCAGTTAAGAAAAGGTAATTTGCCCCTCCCCTCCCCCCAGGAGAACACCCATTCAAGGGTCAGTTTCAAAGATCCCAGTGAAATCGTAAATAACTCACAGGGCTCTGAGCTCAACCTGCAGTCTTAGGAAGGTACAATTAGAAACCGGGAAGGCAACATAGCCTACCGTATCTTTCCAAACAGGAAAAATAATTAAACCAAAAAAGCACCTTGTCAGATTCAACACAAGCTTCAAACCCAAGATCTTTTATTAATAACTGCCTCTAACAACTGCTTTCCACAGGGACATAACTGGGGTCCCCTACCCCTGGGGCACAGAAACCAATCAGCACCATAAATTCCCTTTGCCTCCAACCCTCTCTCCCCTGTGCCGGGGCAGGGTGGGGGAAGGGGGTGACCTGACATCAACACTAACACTCTACAGGAATATGCTGGCTTATTTCCTTTGTTTGCTCATGTTATACTTGATCAAGTGTGAACGATTAAACTGGTTTCATTAAAGGCAAGCGTATTCAGGGCCAACATCCAACTTCAATGGCAACTGTAAGCATATTTTGCAAGGAGGACCTGCTTTTTTGCTTGAAATCTACTATCTCATTAACTTTTCTTTTGGGGGCAATAAAAAGGGGACGTTCTCAAGAGAATGTCAGAGCAGTTCAGAGATCTAATGCCAGACAAAAGAATATTTAGTGTTTCAAGGCTAAGATACCGTCCCTGCTACTTACAAAAAAAGAAAAAAAATCCTGTTTCAATATTAAAGCAGCTATGACTGAAAATGTTTAATTAGCGTTTTGAATATTACTTTATAATTGCTGTAAGAAGTACTCTTTGAAACCAAGTGATTATAGAACCAAGATCCTTTTAAAGTCTCATTACTTCAAAATGTAAAAGATTTACAGTCAAGAAAAAAATATTTCAAAACTTTGGAATTCTCCAAAGTACATGAAAACTAGTTCTACTTTGAGAACCCTCGAGGCAAAACAGCAATCTTAGGTACTGAACACAAGGTAATTTTTAAACTGTCTTTGAACCCAAACACCTAGTACAGAAGGCTAGCTTTTTTGAAAGAGTGGTATGAGAGTTGATATATTTCGCCTAAGTTAGAAGACAGAGAGAATCACTTTGTAAACTTCCCCAAAATATAACGTCCCCTCAAAATTATCCATGTCAGATAAAAATATACCAGTCTCTAGAATATCCAACAGAATTGCAAATAAGGCATTTAGCATTTTAAATTCCCAATGCATATTTATAGAATAGAATTCTCTTGTCTATCCTTCCAGCCACTCGCACCAGACTCTCTAAGAACTTAACCCGATCTCCAATCTTTAAAGAAGAAAAAGGGGGGAAACATACAGAGCGGTCTGTTTACCCCGGATAGGGCAAGGGAGCCCGGCGTGACGACGTAGGCCATCGCCAGCAGCCTCCACCACCAGCACGGAGAGCAGCGGGGGTTTCTGCGAAAAATTCCTCCTCTCCCCTATAAAACCCTAGAACGCGGGGTCCCCTGGAGCCAACTGCCGCTTGGGCTGCCTCCGGAAAAAGTGCCCGGCGTGGGGGCGGTGGGCGAGCACACACGCTCGCGCGCACACGCACACTCCGTGTCCGCGACCATCGTCGCCGGCGGAGAGCCAGCCACGGGAGGGAGTGTGTGCGCGCGTGTGTCTCGGCGCGGCCCGCGGTCACCGCGCCGCGCTCCTGGGCCCGCGGCCTCCGAGCCCCGGGACCCGGGGTGGGCTGCGGGGCCGCCGGGCCTCCCGCTGGAGAAAGGCCCGGGCGTGCCGGGCTCCCGCGCGCCTCTGCCCTCCTCGCCCGGGGCGCTGGGGAGAGCGCGGGGAGAGAAAGAAAGGCGCTTCCCCTGTGCCGCGCGGGTCCGTCCGGCGCCGCGGAGGGCCAGGACGGGGAGGAGGGACCGCGGCGGCCCGGCCGTCCCCGCGCCGCGCCCGGTGCCCGCCGCCTGGGGCGCGCCCTAGCCAACCCCTCCTGCGAAACTTTTCTTTTTGATTCGCCCCACCCGAAAAGTGCGGCCCGGCCGGGGAAGGTGGGGGAGGCGGTGGGCCGGTGTCTGTGTGTGTGGCGCGTGTGGTTTGTATGTGATGTGTGGGCCCTGTGTGTGTGCTGTGTGTGTGTGTTTTGTAATGCTCCTGCCCGCCGGCCCTGCCCGCGCCGCGCCGCCCGCCAGGCCCCTTTGTTGCGATGTGTGTGTGTGTGTGTGTGGCCCGTCGCGAGCGCGCGCGGCGGCGGCAGATGTGGCCCGGCTCCAGAGAGTTCACAAATGCCGTGGCCGCCATAATCATAAAGGGTTCCACTTCGTGTGGCTTTCATTGCGCTCCCCGGTTTTTCGCCGCGTTTTGTGTTGTTCCGGTCCTAGGGGCAGCGCCCCGGGGACCCTGTGTCGCGCGATGTCTCTCCCCGATTCCGCCACCCTCTGTGTGTCGCTCCGCCCCCGCCTCCTGTGTGTGTGTGTGTTCTTGCCACTCGGGGAATTCTGTGTTCGGGTATTGTGGTTTATTGTCCCCGCGTCGTGCCGCGGCGCTCGGCTTCGGGCCAGGCGGGCCCCGCTGTGTTGCACCCACCTTGTGTCTCGGGGTGTTCCGGGGGGCGCCTAGGGGAACCGTCGGCCGAGACGCCGCGCCGCCGCTTTGCGCTCCTCCGGCCGCCGTCCGCGCTTCGGTTTCTTTCTCTCTCTCTTTTTGTGGTGGGTGTGGGAAAAGGGTGACGGTGGTGTATGTTCATTAATCTCATCATTTGTGTATGTATCCTGGCCAAACGCGCAGCGGGGCGCAATTGTTGTGGAGGTGTGTAGGCGGTGAGATCCTTTCCGGCGTCTGTGTTGTCCGATATGGGTTGACTCGCGCGGGGGGGCGCGACCTATTAAGACTGGCCTCGGATTGCCGGCTCCGGTCTCTCCTGTGTCCCTCTCCTCCTCCTTCCCGAGTGGCGCAGTGAGGTGGTTGTTGTCGTTCTGTTTTTGTTGTCTGTGTGTGAGGCGGGCGGCGGCTCTCCTAGCCCTCCCCGGGCCCCCTTCCTCGTCTCTGTTGTCGTGCCGGCTGTTGTCTGTCGGCGAAAGGCGCCCACCTGATGTTGGTCTGTGTTTTATTTGTGTTGGCGGCTCCTGTCTTCTTTGACGCTGGCGGTGGCTTGTTGGTCGGCGGGGCTGTGCGGCGCCCCTTGTTGTTGGCATGTTCCTGTCTGTGGTGTTGTGCCGCCGCCGGCTCCTCCGGGGCGCTCCCGAGCCCACCTATTCTTAAAAATGTTATTCTGTCACAGGACCACACACCACAAAAAAACTTATCTCCTTGTCTCGTCCTCTCCTCCTCCCGTCGCCCTCTTTCTTCCCCCCCAGGGTTGTATCCCTCCCCTTTCCTCCTCCTCCCCGTTTTGTGTGAGCCTTTCTTCTTACTCCCACCTACTTCCCTTCCCCGCCCCACTTGTGCTCTTGTTGTTGTCCGGTCCCGCCCTCCCGCCTGTGTCCCCTCTGTGGTATGGGGTCTGCCCTGGTTTTGGTCCCCGGCCGGCGGCCCGCCCTCGCCGCGCTTCACCCCCCGGCTGAGGATGCTGCTTCCAACTTGGATCGGGGGAGGGAGCGTCCTGGATGCCGAGCGCCTGCAGGCTGTTTGCTTTCTTTATTTGTTTTCTGCTCCGGGGAAGGAGGAGGCAGAGAAAGGAAAGGCAAGACGGCGGCGCGTCCCCCGGTGCCCGCCGGCTGCGCAGGAGCGAGGCGGGCGGCGAGGTGAGGGTCGCCGCTCGCTCACTCCTCGCTCCTTTTTGGGGGGGGCAAAGGCGGGGTCTCTCTTTGCAAACCAATGACACAACCCCACATGGGCCGGCCTCGCCCCCTACGGATACTCCTCACTACAAATCGGCTCTCTCGGGGGATTAGTGGCTCCGCGAAAGTGCACACAGGCGCGGCGGGCGGGCGAGGGGGCCGGGCGCGGCGGGCACTCCCCGGCCCCGCCCGGGCCTCGGGGGCGCGGGTGGGCCCGGGCGGCGGGAGGCGGGTCGGCTGCGGTGGCCGGCAGCCCGGCCCTCCCCTCGCCCTTCTTCTTCCTCCGCCCCTTCCACGTGGGGCCCCGGGCGGCCGGCCACGTGGGGGGATGCAAGCCCGGGGGTGGCCCCGGCCCCGCAGGGCCCCCGCCAGGCCCGCGGCGCCGACCTGCCCCCTTCGCGGCCCCCCGGCTGCAACTTCCTCCCGGGCCCCGCGCCGGCCGCTGCTGCCTTCCCCGGCCCGCGGGGTCAGGCGCGGGCCGGCCACAGGGGGCACTTGCGCTCCCCAAATCCGGATCCGCGAGCCCGTGCGCCAGAGGCGGCGGCGGCCGCGGGTGCGCCGGGAAGGGGCCCTGTGTGCTGGAACTTGCAGCGGCGGTGGTACCTCAAAGAAGCGAAACATTTTTGCACGTTAAAAGAAACGTTCCTTCCTGTTGCCTAGTTTTCGCCGGGGCTGTTTTAGAAGCCTCGCCCTGGGCCGGAGCGCTGGGCCCCGCGGGACGGCGGCGCACTGCGGGGTGCCGGGCTTGCGCGGCCCGGAGCCCGCGCCGTCCCGACGTCCAGGTCGGGCACCCGGCCTGGCCATCCGGGCCCGGCGGCCCGACGAGCACCTGGACCACATCCCACGCCCGAGCGCCGTCTCCGGAAGCGAGCCGGCGGCCGCGGAGTGGGGGGCCCTGCTCCCCGCACCCCGAGCCTCCAACTCTCCTCTCACTGCCCTGAGCCTGGCGCGCGGCCACCGGCGACTCCTGTGTGGGCTGAGCCGAGCCCTTAGGCTCGGGTTGTTTAAAACCATATTGAGATGTTAGCAACAGGATTGAGACGTTGAGCTGGAAAGGCGTGGGAGGGACCTGAGGTCCGGCCTCGGGAGGCTGCGGGGACGGCCATGCCGGGAACTGAGTCGCGCGGTTCGGCCTCCTCGGACCGGAGCGCCGCGCACCCCACGGAGCCCAGGGAGCGTAAAGCAAGGCCCGGGGCCGGGGCAGAGGCCACCGAGCCGCTGGGACCTTCCCCGCATCCCCGGGAGCGCTGCTCTAGGCCTCTCGGTCTCTATTAACATTTTAAGAATCTTGTCCCGGCCTGCCGCAAGGAGTAAGGTGCTCACTGCTGGTTTGCTACCCAAATGCAGCCTCCGTGACCGGCAGTGTGGGGGCCGTGGCTTCTGACGATTGTTTTATAATTAAACAGGACTTTAAAAATCGAATGAAGACCTCCTACCTTGGTGGCAGCGAGGCACCCGCTATTCCATGTGCTGCTTTGCTGAGATGTCCCAAACTCTGCCAGGCCAGGCCCCGCACGTGGCTCTTCTGTCGGCGGTTCTGTCGAAAAACTCCCAGACGCGCACTGTCATCTCCATCTTCTAGCGGCCCTCTATCTCCACAAACTCATCTTCAGGGGTCCCCTTCCCCAGGAGGTCCGCCTCAGGGTCCTGATGCCCAAGATAGTACTGGGTTCTAAACTGACTCCGCACTCACCCAGGCTCCTGGGCCACCAGTACCTGCCTTTCCGAGTTTCTTGGGTATAAACTATAATAAGCATAAACAAATACTTTCCTTATTTCTCAAAAGTTTTTGATTCAGAGAGGTTGTCTGTTCTTACGGGGAAAGCACAAAACGTCATATCGCTTGTTCAACTTTCGTGCGTTTTATAAGTTTGAATTTGGACTTAGAAAATACTGTGTTGATTTGAGAACATTACAAAGAAGGCATCTTCAGAGTCAAAAATTATTTCTCAGTTCAGTTTAAAAAAAAACCCAAGATATTGCAAAAAAAAAAATCAATTCAAAAATAGGAAGACTCAATAGACATTTCTCCAAGGAAGGTAGACAAATGGCCAATAAGCACATGAAAAGATGTTCAACATCAATAGTCACGAGGGAAATGCAAATCAAAACCACAGCAAGATACCACTTTACGTCTACTGGGATGACTATTATCAACAAAGCAGAAAAGTACGTGTTGATGAGGATATGGAGAAATGGGAGCCCTTGTGCACTGCTCCTGGGAATGTAAAATGGTGAGGGGGGAGCAACAAAGTGACAGTTCCCTAAAAAGTTGAGTATCACCCAGCAATTCCACTTCTGGATATGTGCCCACAAGAATTGAAAGTGGGGACTCATGGATATACGTACACCCAGTTCATAGCAGCACTAGTCACAGCAGCCAACAGGTGGAAACGGCCAGCATGTCTATCAAGGGATAAATGGATGAACAAAGTGTGGAATATACATACAAAGGAACATTAAAAAAGAATGAAATTCTGATAGATGCCACAGTAGGGACGAACTTGGAAAGCGAGCTAAGTGAAACAGCCGGACACCAAAAAGACAAGTATTATATAATTCTACTTGTAAGATGTCCCTAGAATAGGCAAAATCGTAGACAGAAAGTGGAATGATGGTTACTGAGAGCTGGGGGCTGAGGAGGGGGCAGTTACTGTCTGATGAGTACAGAGTTTCTATTTGGGTTGGTAAGAAAGTTCTGAAAATGGGCAGTGGTGATAGTTGCACAGCATTGCGAGTGTGCTTGATGCCAACAAACTGTGTACTTAAAAGTGAATAAAATGGTAAATCTTATGTCATGTATATTTTACCCCAATATAAAAAAAGTTGCAAAGTCACTTTTGTCTTACAAAACTACTCTTAGTAGTTTCATATTTATTACTATAACTAAAGATATTTTTCAATAAGAAAAAAAAGGGAAAATGTTTTAAAATACATTTCAGTTAATTTACAGAAATAAATGCCTTTTACTAATTTTTTTTTTATCTTTGTGTGTTAACGTTTATAGAACATACAGCAGCACCAAAATGCTAATTTTTCAGTACTCTCTAAGAACTTTTCCCTTGTGATCCTATTTAATTGGTCAGGTTCAATTTCTGACGTTTCAACATGGACTGTGACAGACACAAAACAGAACAGTCATAAAAATGACAGCAACAAAAAAATGGCAGCCCAAATGTTTGTCCTTGACTTGCCACAATGCCTGGTGCTACCTAGCTACCTGATGTATTTTTGGTCCTTCTAGCAGCCCCTTAAAAGAGATACTAGTGTTCTCCCCATTTTACAGATGAGGGAAACTGAGGTTCAAGGACATGGGGACTTCCCCAAAGCCACACTGTTGGTGACTGAGGAGCCGGGGTTGGACCCCTGTCTGCCGAATTCTGCGACAGCTCCATTCTAGAAGGGCTTGTCTTTACATACACGTCATCACTGTTGGTAGAAATTTAGAAAAGGCAAAGTTAGCTAATTTTGAAACATATTTGGCATCATCTTATTTGAAAATTTTTTCTTTGTTTAATGATGAGCCTTCAAACTTATCTCTAAATTGAAAAAAAGAAAGAAAAGGAAAGTCCAAGAATTTACTATGTTGTCAGAGACTGGTTAAAAGCTAAAAAAGATAAAAATGGGCATGGCGTGGCGGATGTCAAGGCTCCTAAGGGTGAATTTCAGAACAGTTAAAAAGTCATGCTAATGAGAAAGGAGAAAGTAAATTATGGCTGATGGAGAATAAGGGTCCCACATAAGCTTTTATACTGAGGAAGAAGAAATAACATGCAGAGTTCACAAAACTTGCATCTAATAGTTTTCTCCTTGTAATATATCTGTACTCACTTTTTCCTGATTATTTGAGTTAAATAGAAAACACTACTGTTTTCAGGAAGTATCATTAATCAAGTTTCTGAGTGGGAGGAGGTTGAAATGTACACATTGCGCTCAGATGGTTGGAATCGCTTTTTCCTTTATTCTGGGAATTCAACTCCTTTGCCCAGGAGCCTTATTCCCACTTGATGTTGCCAGTTAGGGGCAACTCTGTCTCTTCCGGTTGGATTCTATTTCTTCTGGTTGACTCGGTCTCCCCTGGGTGCATATAGTTCAAAGCCCGTATCAAAGTGATTTCTCCCTTTGCTCAAGGAGTCTCCGTCCTCCTTTCTGGGTGCCCAAACATGGAATTCAGACGAGGGCTCTGGGGGAGGGGTCTGGTTGTCGGGTGGAGAGGTCTGGCCTGGTGGAGCCCCAGGGCAGCAGCATGCGGGCAAATGTAACCCACACAGGTGAAGCTCTGTGCACAGACAGGGCAGGGGCATTTTCCCTGGGGGGCCCAGCCAGTCCCCCACTAACGAGGCTGGGCACCGCTGTCACTCTGAGATGCTGCCTTGTCCTCCACAGGCCCTCTCCCGCAGGGCCACCCTCCCCCATGGGGGCACAGTACCCCATAACTTTCAGTTGCCTGACTCCAAGTCAGCCCTGGGCTCCATCCAGGCTACAGCGTGGGGCAGAGGAGCAGTCGCACTGCAGGCCATCGGTCCAGGTCCAGTTACTTCCCTCCGCCACCCACTGCCTGACAAAAGGGAAGGGGCAGACTGCAAGGACTGGTCCAGATTCTCCCTCAACCTAGGGAGCTTCCGTCAACTCCGCTCTGCACTCCTTCTAAAGGAAACAAAGTGCATCTCTCTCGAAGAACTAATGAACTTGCTTGAACAGATCATGAAAACCATGTAAGCCATCAGGATTCCTGTTGCCTTGGCTCATAGGAAGCTCAAATCCAAATTTAATGCTCTAGGACGGCAGCCAGCCTAGTGTCTCTCATGTTCCAGGAAGCATTATCTCCCTTCCTCCAGGAAGAGCGATTCTGAACTTGCTATGGGAAAGGAGTGGTTTGTGGTGTTCGAAAAGGCATAGCAAATAACTTCAGATAATTTGATATTTGGAAAATGAAATACCAGTTGTTCTTGCAATACAGATCAAGGAAAGTAAAGCTCAATAAAGCTTTCCCCTCGGATACACAGAAGACACAAAGATCACTTCCTGGAGTTGAAAAAAAAAAAAAAACAAAAAACAAAAACTGGATTGAGAACTTCTGCTGGAAGGAAATTCTAATTTCCATTTTGACTTTTTGATGACCTGTGGGGTTGTATATGTTTTCGTTATAACCACCTAAAATACTTTTTGGAATTTGGTGGGACATTATTAATAAAATATACATAAAACCCCACCATATCAACACCCCTGCTTTGAGCCAGGGCCATTTGTTAGGGGAGATGGGGCCTACATTGCCCTCAATGGCAGTCATCACATGTTGTAACCACGAAATTGTGGGATGAGTTGATCTGTTTTGCAGGGCCTGGCCCCTACCAGGTGCTCAGTAAATATATCTTGGGTGGATGGATGGACCACTCAGTGAATATATTTCGAGAGATCTGAGCTGTATAAAAGTCATATATAAAAATGGACAAGAAGAATAGAGTAATTTTCAATCTTAGAGTGGTAGAATTTGGGGTGATTTTTAGAGTGGTAGAATTTGGGGTGATTTTTTTTAACTTTTAAAAAATTTTTATTTTAATTTTTTTAAGAGACGAGGTCTCACTGTGTTGTCCAGGCTGGGGTTCAGTGGCTATTCACAGGCTGATGATAGCATGCTACAGCCTCAAACTCCAGGCCTCAAGCGATCTTGTATCGGATCCTGTGATCCAGGTCTCCCCATGTTGCCCAGGCTAGGCTTTCCTCTGGGATCAAAGGATCCTCCCACCTCAGCCTCAGGAGTAGCAGGGACTACAGGCAGGTGCCACTGTGCCCAGCATTTTTATCTTTACTATATTATTTTTATAAATTTAAAAAGATAAGCATTGTAGTTGTAGACTGAAAAAAAATAAAAAATAAAAAATAAAAAAAAAATAAAAAGTAAAACGGCAAAGGGAAATGATGTATGTAACCCACTCTTGAAAGGTTCAGAAAAAATAATGGTATGTATATATTAATAATAGAAAATGATAAAGCAAATGTAGCAAAAAGTTAAAAACTGGTGAATTGGGGTGCTGGATACATGGGAGTTCTCTGTACTATTCTAACGACCTATCTGAAATTCAAAATTCGAAATAGCCAGGTACAGTGGTGAGCCCCAGTAGTCCCAGCTACTTGGGAGGCTGAGGTGGGAGGATCCTTTGAACTCAGGATTTCAAGGCCAGCCTGGGCAGCATAGTGAGACCCCTTCTCTAAAGAAACTGAAAATACAAAAGTTTTCTATAAAATAATAGGGAAAAAATAAGATGCTTAGCCCCAGTGTGAAATACTGACTTTGGAAGGCACTTATTTTCTTCCCTTTAGCAGCCTTTAAACAGGATGGCACAGTTCCTTCCCTGCTTTATACCTCCCTGAGAACGCCTTTGATGTCTCTAGGGACCCAAGGCCTGTAAAAGGCCCGTGGGACAGGCCTGCTCCTGCAGCCCAGCGGGCCTCCCCCTGCTCGAATCAAAGACCTCTGAGCGAGGTTCTTATTGCTCAGCTTGCTAGCTCTCCAATTTCATTTCCACCTACCAACGGTTGCAGAAAAAAAGATAGTGGCCCTAGATAATAGTGAGTCCTTTTATTGTAACTGTTTTGTGCAATAAAATGGACTAGTTGTGTGCACTTAAGTATTTCAAGGGTCTGTGCAGCAAGAGTTACTGGGAGTTGGACTCCGCTGTATTGTTACTCACCTATCTCTGCCATTCAGGTTCAGCTCACTTCAGAGCCACAATTATCTGAAGCTCTCAGTTGCTGTCCTCAACTGAGGTGGGAATTTTGCCGCAGTGTTTTGTAGAATAGCTGTGCTCTTTTCAGCTATAATACAATCACTGTGTGATTCATAATTAATTCTAATCAGTGAGTACATATTGCCTTTACAGATGCGGTGGCCTTTCCAAGTATGCATTAAAAGTTCTAAGCCCATGCCCTGCGCCGTAAGGGGTACAGATCGGACGGACTGGTTGGAGCTCTCACGGTTTCGGGATTTAATTGG